AAGACTCTCCCAAACATCGTTTTAAACACGTGGTCACTTTTATCACGTGTTTTTGTAATATTAGGTTTAATACTCGCTCTCATCTCAGAACTCGCACCAAAAAGGTAACAGCATAGAGATCAATAGTATCATGAATACTTTTTCAGAAATTATACATGATAAACAAAAATTCTTTACACTATACATATGATGCATACATAACTATGCAAGATCTACCATCTAGTAATATATAATTAATTAGTCTTGACCATGCATAAATGAATAAGAATTGATTATAAAGAGATTATTTATAATACTATTATCACTTGTCCTATATCTAATATTGTTAACTATATTAATCAAAATTATATCAAAAATACAGAAAAATATGTATTCTAGATGTGACAATATTTACTTCTCCTATTGCAAGTTATCTTGATTAATCTATTAGAATTCTTCCATAGTGAGCTTAAAGAATAATAGCTAAAGAGTTTGGTCTTATAGATATTACGCTTGCTTAATAATATTTTTTATTGCAATTCTCTACTCATCAAATACTTATATTAATATTAGAAATATATCACAAGATTGCTGATCTTGATAGTAAAAGATGACTTGACTCTGAAAAGATTATCTTCAATTTTTATCAGAAATAAATTTTTATAGCTGATCTTGATGATGAGATTCTGAAGGAAGTTTACAAATTTTCCTACTCTATTCAAAAGCTAATTATAAGTGAGACTATTGCTATAAGTATGAGAATCATGAAAGAAAAATTATCATCAAATCTAATATTACCAGCATATTCTTATGTATTCTTTTATTACTATCTACTTTCTTATTGATATATTCTCCATAAATATCTTTTTGATTTTAATAAGTTACTAATGATTGATATTTGGAAGGAATTCTAACAAATATTTACAGAGACTGGGTTTAAAGTATATAAACATTGTGAAATGATCAAAATATTTAAGCCTATTCAGACTTAAATGAAAAGAAAAGTAAAGATGTGAAGATTACAGATAGATGAACTTTTAGAAAGAGTATAATAATGATATTACTAAAGTATTTGTTACATGTTTGGATAAGTCATTGAATTCAATTTTTAAAATTGTAATATAATAATTTATTATTTTACAAGTCAATTAATTTTATAATTGTATTTATTATTATTATTTTTTACAAAAAAATAAATGTACTTTATTCTGATTATTATGAGCTTTATTCTCAATTGTTAATTGATCAATATTATGATCATCTATTGATCAAAATTATTTAGCCAATCATTACTTATCACGTGTATTTTTTACACATTACTTATCATGTATATTTTCACATGATTTGGATCCGGATTGAATCCAAAATCACATGATACTATCCGGCTTTAGTGGACCCCCTGATTAGAAAATTTGAAATCCAACGATTAATCCAGAACTGGCCCAGAAAGGTCACCTGACTCAGTACTGTCCCTAAGTTCTGTCGATTCTTATTGGTCGATTATGCCGATTATCATATTTATCATGTGTTCAGAAACAAGATTATAATTACGCGTCGCGTCTGATAGAACATAAAGATCGTCTCTCGTAGCCGTCTTTAAAAGTAATTCTTACGCTCCTAATTATGGTTAAAACAAAACTTTCTACATGGTTACGATCAGAAGTTATTGAGCAAAATATCAAAGGCACTCTCGATGCTACTTAAATAATGCCTGTCCACTGAACGTTTCAAAGGACTCTATTCGCGATTCACTTAAGGACATTCTATCTAACGACAAAGTTTTCTGTGAAAAAGTCGTAGAATATATTACAGTATTCGATCGGTTAAAGAAACAAAAGTCTTCCTCCAAAGAAAAATCATTTGCGGTCTTCAAGAAAAAACACGATTTTATGGATCTGCTATTGGGACACATGCGACAGTCAACAATAGTTACAAAAATAATGCAACTAGATCACATACGGTCACCAATGAATATAATAACAACGTAAAAACTTGTGATTCCTCACACCCCCCCCCCCACCAATGAAGCCTTTTCTTTCATCGACGACGAGCAAGGGGCTGTTGTTGAGCCTTATATAAATTCCGTTGAAAAGTGCTCTATAAATTTCTTGTTGATAACGAGCATATCATCCCTTCCAAAATTGTAGAGTCCTTCATCGCCAAGCAACATCATCCCTGGGTCAGCCCTGACCTCGCAAATGCTGATGTATTGTGTATGATAAATTTCATACTCGAAAATATTAACATTTTTTTGAAGCATTCGATTTTTCACGGTCGATATAAGGCGGATCTCGTTGAACTACCAAGGAGAATGTTAGAAATAAGATGGCCCACGGGATAATCATAGATGAAAAGAACGCTGGAGCGATCTCGAACTCCAAAACGTCGCACATCTAGCATGCGAAATCATTACCTGTCTTGGTAGTAGTTGATAATCTGTCTCATAATAACACGAGTTAACTTAGTTTTTTCCTGTTTGAACACTAGATGAAAATTACCAAGAAACGCATGCTAACAAAATAACTTTGATAATGAGATAATTCGGCGGTGGATAAACAAGACAACTGAGGACCACTTAAAAGGAAATTTGACGATATGAACTCTTGTAAATAGCTGAGTTTGTTTTGGGCGTTCTTGAAAATTTTGTGGAAGCGGAGAGTACTATGTATTATCTTACCCCCGTGAATTGATTTAGAAAAGCAGAACGAGCACAGAAAAAAATTTCGCAAAGAAAATGTCGCATGATTAATCACTTCGCATTTAAAGCTTCCCGAATATTATATGAATTGGTTTACACGTGATTTTTGTGTTGAATTTTAATAATGTTTCAATTAATGATACCAAAAATGCATAAACGAAACTTCGTATAAAGTAATTTATAATTTGTTAGTTTAATTTTTCTTAATTTAAAATGAAATTAATAAAATTACATATCAATCGGTTAACGCGATTTGGTATCGTTGCATTTTCAATGATAGGAAAACATCTCTGGATAACACGTAATTTAGCCACCTTTTATCTTTCGCGCCATCTTATCACCTCCGGGATAACGGGATCGACAATAACTATGACTCGTCACTTTTCGGAATGCAATTTTTCTTGGATCACACCACCAATCGCAAACAACCAATTAATTATACGAGAATGTTCAATAATTTTTAGACGATTACTTTTTTTTGCTAGATGATCCTTCACCAAGCTCATCCGTACGAACGCGCTTCTTATTCTTAAGTCGCCTAACGAGGGGAATAGTTTCAGTGTCTTGCTCGGCACCTTCCTCGCGAGGGACAATTACTACTTCTGGAACTTTTGTTGTTGGCGTTGATGGTGATGCTTGTGCCGCCGCCTTTTTTTGTTTTAGCTTTTTATCTTGTGCGGCTTTTTTGGCAGCCTTTTCAGCAGCTTTTTCAGCCGCCTTTTGTTTTTTCTGGATTTCCCTGTCAAAACATACGTATAAACATCAACCCATCAAACTAGAATAACAAAAATTAGTCAATCGAATATACCTCTCTCTCGCTTTTTTCTGACGATCTTCCTGTTTTGCTCGTTTTCTCTCTTCGCGCTCTTGCTGCTGCTGTGCTGCTTCTAACTCTCGTTTTCGTTTTTTCTCTTCTTTGAGCGCGAGTTCTTGCTGGGACGGTTGTTTGATTGGTTTTTTATTTTTTGGCTGTTTGGGTATTATTCCGGTGATTGGGACTTTAGGTCGGAACACGCGTTGCTTTGGAGGAAGTAACTCGTCCTAAATTACAACGATGATAGATTAGGTAAGATAATTTAAGCGTATATCAAATAGAGTGATATCAATAAATATTAATAATAATAATAATTAATTACCTCAATCAAATTGCCACCTGAATCTTCCAGTTTTTTAGCGAAGAATGGTCGAAGAAGCCCTATCAATGTGTTTGCATCGGTTATTGGTTTCCACGGCGGTGGAGTTGGATATGCCGATGCTATATGAAAGAAAATAGCCCACCGTTAATAAATTTTAATTTTATAGGATTATTTATTACAAAATTGAAACAAAATTACCTTCTTTTCCACTATTAGTCCGCAGTTCAATAATGAAAATAAGATATAAACGATATAAACACATTTTTCATGGATCAAAAAATAAAATAATAATAATCACCCAAGTCCCGGTTTTAGCAAATCATTCTTGTTCTTTGGACGTAACAAGTGGGTAGGTATTTTCATATTTCCTAGACCCATTTCTTTAAAGCCAAAGATATCGAGCTCGTCCATTAATTCGCCGCCAAAATCACCACTACAATCAGAAGAGTATAATTTTTCTGAATAAACGAGCATATCAAAAATACATAAAAATTATATTCAATTGAAATTTTTTATTTACGTTATAAAAGCTTCTTCATCATCAAAGATCGATTTCTGATCGCGACCTTGACCATCTCCCGTTTGCTAAAATTTAGATAAATAACAATAAAGGAAAATTTATCTAACATAATGTAAAAAAAAATTAATTTACCATCAATGATTCTTGATATGTCGTTTCTAGACGTCGGTGAATGTCTGCCAATTTAGAACCATATCGTTCAACCTCATCTTTGACATATGACTCAAGAATGTTCACACCAGGCACGCCATTCTCAAATAGACTATGTTGGATAATTTCCTATCCGATAAAAAGCTTATTAACGCAACATTACATTCTGGACAAAATACAAGTTTGAATATATATGATATGATAAAAAACTTACTTCCGGAGTCATAGATCTCGTGTAGTCGTCAAGGTATGTACGAATACTCTTTCCAAGGTTGAGAAAGTAATCCTCTGCCACATCTGTCAACACTTGTAGTGCACTTGATTGCGCAGCTAAAAATGCAATCAATTCAAAAGACAATACATTAGTAACTTATAATTCAAAAGGTTTGTGACATTTGTAAATTGATAATTAATAGAACTCGCACCTTCGAATCCTGCATGTTGTAATAACTTTGTAACGACACGAGTCATACTTTCATGGCCTAATTCTTTAGTCATGACGAGAGGCGGCAAATCTTCTTCGTTTACAGTTGAACTAGATGATCCAGGTATTTGTTCTGGTGGCTCTGCGGGAGATGCTGGATCAATTTGATTTAGCATGGTGCCGAATTGATTAACAAGACCAGGCTAATAAGAATATGTATTATGAAAATTTAGTAATTACTAGATAGCTATATATATAAATGACAACTCCAATTTTCTCACCTGACTCTGTTTAATTATACCAAGTTTAGCGTGTACTGCGCGATTTTTTTTGAGTAGGTTAATATTCCGATTAATCAAAGCCGCAGTACCTCGTGATGGGATTTGGGCGGATGGATAAGCGTCTAGCGTGGGCTGATTGTTACTATAATTTCCAAAAGAAATATGAAGTTTATGCAATAAAAAGATCATTGACTATTATAAAAAAAATATTTACCTTGCGTCATAATTATCATTAAACATCCTTGCACGAGTTTCTTTATCGCGAACTGGATCCCAAATATCGGGCATCTTTTGTAATTTGAACTGCTTGATAAGTTCCTCTTCTTCGTAATCATCATACTCCAATTCATCATCGGTTGTTCCTTCCGCGTCTTGTTCAGTAATTTCTAGAGTTTGTACTTCATCCTCGTCGTCTTCTTCAATTAAAGTGTCTGTATTTAAAGAATAATTAGTCAATTAACAATTAAAAAAAAAAGAATTTATAAATTTTAAATTTTTTTACCGTTTCGTGCAAAAAGATGCACACTTTTTCCTGGCACCATATAATCTGTTGTTGCTGTTGTTTGATTATTAATAGAATTCTCGTCAGCGCTTCGTTCAGTCCCATTATTTTTGATTTCCTCCGCATGACGCGCTGCTTGAGTCTCTGCTTCACTACGATCGCGAATCACTATATCAGGGACGCTACGCAATAGTATATCAGTTTTGGCTTTCATTGCGTTCGCGTGCTCTCGATAAGGATTGTTCTTTTATAATGTAGATTGAATCAATCATTGGTCAATTCAACCACAAAATCATATATGGAAAAAAAGGTACCGGATTGGTATTGTATTTGAGACAGTTCGAGTATATTAGATACAAATCATCAGCAAATTCTCGTTTAGAATTATACATATGATTTTTCATCTTCTTTCCAATTAAACTTAAATCCATAGGTTTTTCGATGACTAGCAAAATGAAATAAAGAAGATGGGATAAGAATTATTTACCTAATCTTTAATAACAGAAATTGATTATACAATAAATAAGACACCTTTTGCGTAATCTGGTGCTTCACGTTTACTCACTTTCGTAAGGAAAGGTGTTGAATGTTCCTAAAGTAAATATGCATCAACCTTTCGTTATTACAGGCATAATTGATCCATCATTACAGGTAAGACTTTAATTATTATAAAATTCTTACTGGATAATTTCTCAGTGCCGTAAGCACCGCATCCATAGCCTCGTACAATTCGGCTTGACCCATCCGCTCATTATTTGCCTGTTGTTATAGAAGGGAAATCGAAGGCAAATCAATATGGTTAGATGTACATATAATTGATAATATATGAACATGTGAAGAAGAAAATCTATGCTAACCCACTTGGAGCCGACCGCTCTTAATTCAAACAATAAATCTTTTAATTCATCATTACCCAGATCGATTTCCGTCCTTCTTTCTTGGACCACATCAAGAAGATACTATATATGAACACAAAATATCAAGATAAATTGATAAAGAGAGAGGAAATTATATTCAACCAAAGAAAAAAATATTAACCTTCATTTTGGGAGACACTGACCCAAGAATTTGCTAATAAAGGAAGAATGATGAGATCGATAAATTAATAATAAAAACTATTGTTAAGTAAGATGAAGTAACGACAAACAAACCAGTGGTGAGAGTTCATCTTTTTCTACTTTGTTATCTTCCTCTTGTACTGTGGCTAATTCATCGGGCAATTTTTGCTGCTGGGAATTTGTATGTTGTAGCTGAGCTGGTGTATCTACCTAAGTGCATTCATTATTGAATTGTATATAAGTATCGATAATTGATATGCACGCCATCAAAGTCCGAAGAAAAATGAACATAATGGTAACTATCGATTAATTATAATAGCATAGTTAATTATTAGTTATTACCTGCACTCCAAACAATGACTCCCATTCGTCCGCCGAGGATTCATCATCCTGATACTCTGCTGGCAACATTCTATGACTTACAGCAGCCCGAATGTCCCAAAGAGCTTTCACTTTGTCTTGCGACAATTTATCAATGTCAGCTTCCCATAGTTCTCTGAAACGCGTAATGTCAACTGCTGTCGATAATTCTTTAAATAGTTCTTGTGAATCAGGTTTAAGGTTCTTTTCAAAGTATCGAGAATTCGTGGAATCTTTAATGATACGCCAACTTTTCGTGGTGTAAGAGTTTTCTTCACCAGCATTGACGCGTGACGTCGTCGTCAGGTCTTGGTTGAATACTTTTGTTGGTGTGTTGATGGTGGTTGTGGTGGTATTTGAACGTCTCGTTGACAACATCTTTGGTTATTATTTTTAAATGAGTGGTACTTAGGGTTCAGAGGATTCAAAATTGGTTAATAAAGCTGAGCTGAAATTTTGAAGATAAATTTCCGAGATTCATCGATAATTAGACAATAACATGTTGATCTCGAGAAAAACCCATAATGACATAAAGTATTGCTTTCGGAATAAACCAATTACTGAACATTAACCTAAACTGACTTTCTGACTGTCTGCTTGACAGCAGTAAAATATTTTGCTGGGTTTGCTTCAAAGTTTCAGTTACTCTAAAACGACAAAGGTCAATCTAAAGATGTGGAGGACTTACAAAAGCTTCAACAAGAAAAGACCTTGATCCGTAAATCCCGCTCAAATGAACAAAAAGATATCCTTCAGCTACGTACTTAACTTGTATTCATCTGTGCTTGCTTTCAACCTTTCAAATATACGATAATTTCTAGCAGTCATATCAAGGATCCAGATGAGATACTTTTCTATTATTTCTCTTTGATCAGATATAAATCGATAGCATACAAGTAGCCAACTATTATTTTGCTGAATTGTAGAATCAGAATCGCTCGCGGGTTGATAAAAATTAAACATCGAAAATTTATGGTGATATATAGAGGCCTTTATAAAGTTAACTCCAATGCAAGACATTATTGAATGAAAGAAACTAAAGATCATTATTATGCAAATAGCAAGAACGGTTTTCTTCTGAAAAATTTAGACAAATCGATTAGGTTGTCATAGATTGAGATTGTTTTTCAACCTATGGCTATGATGGCTAATTAGCCCCTGAAGCGAGGTCACCGATCACATTGGATGAGGTAATCAAGAAAGTTTTTCTCGCAGCTAAAGGATTACTGTTTTCATTTCTAATGCGTAATTTGGTGAGATTTGCATCAAACCAATACACCAAATAAAGATATAAAACAGCGTAGATAATAATAATTAGAAGGTGATCCTTGTGACTCTGTCGACTGCCACGCATGGAAAAAATCTCGAAGAACACTGGAAGGGCCACTAAATACATAGAATTACGATCAAAATTTGGGTTGTTCATTTCATTGATAAGGCTAATGTTGACAACTATATTTACAACATATTAAATTCAGGTTGACGGGAGGTCAATGTAAATCGATATACCGATACTCCATTATAATCTTGACTAATTAGAACGCATAATAAAATCTCCAACCATACCTTCTGACCATTATTACCTTAAGGAATTAGAAACCACATAATATATTTTTACTTTCAAATAATTATCATATAACCGAAATCAAATAATCAAAGTGATTTGAATGTGTCATTTTCCTATTTAACTATATTAATAAACTAGCCTAAAAATAATTGTCAATAGTTATCCATTTACCCCGTTTTCTATGTCAGGAGTCGAGTATAATCAATTAGTATGGCTAACCTTCATCCACAAACCCGTGAAAGCAAAAAAGTCCCTTTTACTCAAAATGAAATGTGTGTATATGTAACATTAATGATACGGGATGTTTTGAACAGCAAAAAAACTCAAAGGAAAGCTGCACGCGAATGTATGTGTATTTTATTTAAAGGGTGATGGTGGAATTTGGTGTATAAAAAGAAAGGTAGCTTAACGGAAACGTTAATAATTAAAATAAGGTTATTATATAGTAACTAATGCAACGCTAATAAAATAATATGATAATAAATCAAAGATCCTTCTTTAAGGATGATACACAATATAATTCGGTAAACCGCAAACTTGTTTTCCCATTCTCTTTGCCATCTTAGCAAACCCTTCTGTTTCTAATTCGTGGTCGATAGGGAAGGTTGGAAAAAGAGCGCCTTCACGATGTACGTTAGCTTTTACCATCAGGCATGCACCTCCAACCCCATCGACTGCTACAATGTCTTTATTTGTGTTTCTCAAGTCACCAAGATAACGGCGATATGTTGGAAGATCGGGATACCCTGAGAAAAGGAATAATCATCACATTAATACATTAGTTAATTCATGTATCTTTCACGTTTACTTCTCTTAATTTATCTTAACAAACAAATGGATGACGTGAAAAACTATCATACATACCTTCTACTAATACATCATCGGGATCTAGTCCTTTAAGAACTTTTTTTGACTCTCGTGTCTCGATAAAATTATTTCTATCATAAACATAGTCAACTCCGTTATGCTTTTCCCGTGCAAATACATTGGGGGTAACCACATCCGTATCAAACCCAATTAGATCCTCAATAAGCGTATCCGGAAACTCCTTTAAATCAGCATCTAACCAAAGCACCCAATCTTCATCATTCAGCGCACCAAACAACAAATAATTACGAGACTGTGCCATTATAGCCCGTCTCGGTGCCTGACTAGATAACGCATGTCTATCACCATGCGACAACACGAATCCAAAATTTTTCTGAAGTATAGAAATCCGTCGATATTTACCAACCATTGCATTGGTGTATGTGACCAGATCCTCAAATGTGTCGTCGTCCGAATCACTCACCAAAAATCCAAACGACAACAATTCTTCCGGATAGCTCAGTTTTTTCACATTCTCAAAATAGATTGGTAGTACTGGACTAGCATCTTTTAGTGGGGTGAGAATGAGTACGGTTGCGTTTTTTCGGTTTGGGTTTCGGTCAAAGTCTTGGTATATTAGGGAGCGCGAGACATCGGTAGTTGTGAGATTTGATGAGGCGGCAGATGAGAGTAGTGCCGTCAGGTTTTGACATGAAGATTTTGTGGATTTGGAGTGATATGATGTTAGGTATAGACAGAAGGTGAAAATGGCACAGGCTATCAGCAGGTATACAGCCTTTCCAAGACGGGTAGTCAATGCTGGATGTGATGTGTTTTTCTTTAGAACCATGCTAAGCTATGCTATATAATAACAGTAACGATAACAATAATTATAATAAAATATTACGATGAGAGCGCGGCATACACAAATATCTTATCTTTGACAATTCAATGTCTAAATATTAACGATTTTGCCAAAAAAATTACGTATTACACTACTCGATTTAATGCAGTAAATGACACAAATTGGTATCCTTGTTTGGCAAAAACATTCCGTTACGTTGTGAAATTAAACCTGAAATTCTTATTTCAGAAAATCACGTGAAAGTTAAACTACCAATAATTTACGAAAATCAGTCTTATCTCTGATGGCACTTGTGTAATAGATTACTAAACTTTTTTATTTATTAAATATCTGATATGAAAATTCTTGAATAAAAAATATGGACCATTGCAAGAAGATTAATATATCAATATAAAAATTAATAATTACTTTTAATAAAAATCATTCAAATTTTAACTAATCTTTATAATAGTTTTATATTAAATAAAAAATAATTTAAATTTACTTTTTATACTATTTTAATTATTTTATTATACTTTAATTTAATAA